TCAGGTTTAAAACTGCTGCTGAATACCCAGAATCCAATGCAAAAAGTGCAGAGGAAATTTGGTTAAGCAGTTAGGAAACTGGTCCTTCTGAGCCAGTGTAGTCATTAACAGAATGATGGTTTACAAAGGAAGTTTGGTATATGACCCATTACATGCAGCCAGGTTATGTTTTTTAGTAAATCAGTTGGAACTTACTGTTTTTCTAAAGGCAGGTTTTTATGGTGACAAAAATAATATTTAAATTTAGGAGTAAGAATAGTTAAAGTTTCATTCACCCACACAGAGGGCAAGAGAGAGATGCCTCTGTAGCATGGCAGGCCACCTACTGCAAGGCCTTACCTGTACATTCCAGGCTTTGGTGCTATAAATATTTAAACATTTTATTCGAAGAGAACAGCTTCCACAATTGAAACTGAAAACAGTTCCTCAGAACCCAATGTTAGCACAGTGCTGTTTCCTGAAGAGGGAAGCCACTGGAGTCTGGCTCACTTCTACAAAACCCAGATCTGAACCAGTTTCCTCTCACCTCTAGAGTAAATGATGCACTAACCAAGCACCTAATTCTAGGAAGGTGCTTTTCTCAAAGCAGCCTCTCCTCTCTGTCTCACTAGTTTCCTTGACTTTTGCAAAAATACTCTGCAGAGTTCAGTGAAACATATCCAAGAGGAAAACCAAAGGAAAGGAGAGAAAAAAGTTGTTTTTTTTCATACTGAAGTGAAATTAAGTGAATTTTTTTGTGTGACCCCTCAGTGAGCAGTCAGTTTTTCACTGAGCTTAGCTGCTAAATTGCTTGCAATGCTTTTGTCCAATGCATTGTACTTATCTAATATATTTTTAAATGCTTGGTTTCTAAAGGGAATTTGTGTTCGCAAAACACATTCCAGAAGAAGCTAGATATCATGCAAGTAAGGCCATCTTCATAGCCTAAACCTAATCTTATCTATTGGAAAGATAACTAAGGGTTGTAGTTTAGGTTTATAAGCCTTTATATAGCATTTCAAAATCCAGGAGGATTTTGCTTTTATCACTTACCCCCCCCCATATGCAGGTAGAAGCTATTGTTTTCTGCTAGTCTGTATATTACTTTGCAGATTAGGGCATAGGCTACTTGAAGGATGCTTTCATTGGGTTTCTTTTCATTTGAACATACGTTTTGGCCACTTCTGGGGCACAATGCGCTGGAAGATCTGTGACAATGCAACTCTGTCATGTACAGAACTTATGGATGAAAGCCACCACATTCATTTGGAGTGAGTTCTTTTGGTCAAAAATGTAGCAGTGTGGGAGAAGCTATGTGGATTTACATGGTTTCAGATTTTTTCCTGATCCCAAGCTCCAGCTTAAAGCTGGATTTCTTCATTAGTCAGCAGTAGAGAGGGTGGTTACACCAGTAGATACTGGTTTTTTCAACTCTACATCCAGCTTCTGGGCTCCTTAAACAAACTTCTCTGGCAGTAAGAATTTTAAGTCTGATTGAAGCTGATTCTATGATCGAAATGTTTATGCTCAAGGGAATAAAACTCTATGAAGATCTGCTAAAAGTCAAATTATTTTGTCAGTCTTTTCAGGAACTATGTAAGAGTATTCCATGTAATATCATGCAGTCTGTTTAGGCTCTAGTCAGCTGTATAGATGGTAAGAGAATGCAATTTAAAATAATTGAAAGAGGAGCTGAGAATGATGGAGAATCTGTCTTGAGAAAGACATAGCTGACAACATTCATGTTTAGGCAACATTTCAAGACTCTTCACAATGATGTATCTTTTGCTCAGTTGTTCCAAGCGTCATATTGCACACTGCGTTTATACCAAGAAGAGTGTTTATTCGCAAGGAAAAGAAACCTTCATTTGTTAAATCCATGTCTTAGCATACCATCAAGTGTAGTCAGTGCTGCTTTTAGCGAAGTAAAATATAGTGAGGCTGTACTGGTAGGTGAATCATGATTGCACAAAGCAATAGAAGATGCTTTCTTCAGGTCACTGCCCTCTGTATTTTGAATCAAACTCTACAGACCTCTAGACTTTCAGGGTAGTTCTCAGCATGTCTCATTTGGCTGTTGAGACATTTCAGTTAGTTTTGATTTTGAGGCATCGCACTATTCTTTTAGGTTATTGCAGATTAAGATGCTCACTTTCCAAAAGGAGCAGCCTGCAGTAAGCCACCAGGCTTGGTGCAAAGCCTGGCCAAGAAGGGGTGATTCTGTCATCCTCACCCCTCACAGGTAGTGCCTCGCTTACACAAATGGTCTTATTAGCTGTCTTTTATTACTCACAAAGAAAAATGTTGCTTAGTGTGAGTCAGAATGGCAGAGTTGGGCCCTGGGTGAACAAAGAGTACAGGATTATCTTTCCGAAAAGCCCCCTGAGGCCTGTATCAAGAGTTATTAAGCACTGATTCAGCCCATAGCATTATTTTGTAGGCTTAAGAGGGATTTCAGTGGTATATTGGGTCTTGTGTCTGTGTAGGGGTGAATTTTGCCCTCTGTTTTTTTTATCTTATAAATAGCTGTTACTGTTTCTCTTTTACATTATTGTTTAAATCTCTTTCAAAGGTACAGTTTCTTAATCCCCTGCTGCATTTTTTTTTCCTTCTTCTAATAAAGAATAAATAAATTTGCAAATCCACACATGACTGAATCAAAAGGCAAATAAGCCCTGCACGGTCTGAATTTGGTGCTGGATACTTCATTTTGATTATTTCAGTCATCATTCATTTGAAAAGCAGAAGCTATGTTTGTTAAGCCTCATTATTTTCTATGAAGCCTGACAGTTTCAAGGTTAAACAGAAGACATCTACTTTCATCCCAGTGGCATTTCTGTTCAAACACGGGCAGCTCCTCACTAACTTGCATACTGCCATGTGCAGTGCCATTGGCTGATCCCAGTGTGGAGCACAGCTGAGCCTTACTGTAGGACCCCTAGCCTGCATCTCTGAAGGAAACCTCAATCATTAAATACATTTTTACCCCTCTTCTGTAAGCTACGTGATTTCCTTTAGACTGAGCAGAAATTTTAATAAGCTCTGGCTTTGGATTTTGCTGTTTCTGCTGTTTATCAAGAAATAATTGGCAATCCAAACCTTCTGTTTTAAATGTTACTCCTTTCCTTTGTGTCCTGAAGCATATTAGAGAAGGTTTTAGTGAGAGAGAGTGGGGGGGAGGGCCTCCAGTGATGTTTAAAGTGGTAAAAAAGCTGCAGTGGTGCTTCTGAAAGTAGAGGGTAGAAAGTCCTCATTTCTGTTGATATTGAGGGATGATCTGTCATTGTTTTCTAAAGTTGCACATGGAGCTGATTTAACAGGAAAACATCTCAGGAGGAGGAGCTGAGGAAAGTGTGACCTATAAGTAACTATGAGTTAGAGCTGTTAGAACCCAGAAAGCATAGATTCATCCATTTTAAGGAATAAGTATGCCTGACTTTGTACGTGTGTGAACAAACTGTAGTGTTTTAGAACTGTCTGGGTAGCGCCTTCAGAAAGACAAAGTGCCATAGATTTATGATACAAAACAGGAAAAAATGCACTTGTTGATTAAAAAAGGAAAATCAGTACATGGACAGTAGGAGGGAGAGGCATGGCTAAGCAGTAACTTTTTACCTATACTTAAAAAGTGAAATTGAAGTCATTAATAGTTGATTCTTCAGAATCCCTATGAAACAACTAGAACCAGGTGAACTTTCCACATACATTTCCTGGTGTCTGATAATTGTGTTAGGGTGGTGAATTCTTAATCAAGTTTCAGGAATTAAGTCATCTGGTGAGTACAATAAGAGGTGTAGTTTCATGTCACTTTGTGGTTCCTGGAAAACAAGAGTGTTTCAGTACGTACCATGCGTGTTAGTCACGACTTGTGGCATTAAATCCAAAATGTGTTAACTGGTTTTCCTGCTCTGATACAGCCATTAGATAAAATACATTTTACAGTTTTGATAAAATGATGTTATTTTTTACTTCCTATCTACATTCCTTATGTTATATAATATTTATTTAAAAAAAAAAAAAACCTTTTCTGATAAGAAGCAATGGTCAACTTTGCAGTAGTGAATACAGCTACTTGAACTTGTGGTTCTTTTTGATCCATTGTAGAAGGTGTGTGCATAATATGCTGGTTCTGCTCTGAAAGTGTTCCATTACTTGCAGTGCCTAGCTCTGTATAGATAGTTTATATGTGGGATAGCTTTCATGGAAGAATTCCATAAAATTGAAGAAGTAGCTTAAATGCAAGATTACTGGAATGCTGAAAATAAATGCCTGCAAATGGAAAAACCCTAAACACATGTATAGCCCTTTGTGTTTCCCTACCTACAAAAGGAAAGAACAAATGAAGCCCTCAAGTTGCTGGACATGCTTATAGCTTGTCCATTAAAATTAAGGATTAGATGCCTCTCTGACCCACTTATTTTGACTGTTAATTTTTCTGTAATCTCCATAACAATCATACAGGCCACCTTCAAATATCATTGTGCACATCAGAGACTTGGCTTGTCATTACTTTGAAAGAGCTTCTGACATAAAACACATGGGATTTGGGCATAAATTTATAAATTGAACAATAAAAATATCTTGCACTGCTGGGTAACAGCAGGGTGTTTTTTAAAGGGAAACAACAGCTAAGTGTTAAGTTTAAGAAGAGGTATGAACTGGCCAAATTTTTAAAAGTGCAAGAGCTGAACATTGTGCTAACACCAAAGAGTATGTGTGCCACAATTGCTGTACAGCGTTTTGTGTTTGTTCCTTATGGGGATTCACATACTCCATATACTATAAAAGAAAAGCAAGTTGCTATGTATCCCTGCAGATGGGTTGGGTTTTAGGTTAAAAAGTTTTCTGTAAGTTGTCTGCGTTTTCCCTTAATGTCTCTCCTTTACAGTAGTGCTTTGTTTCTGAGCGTGACCACCACCAGGACAGCTTGGTTCAGTGCAAACACTGTCTCTTTCAGCCAGAACATTCCTAACATTAGCTTCCTTTTTTTTCTCCTCTCCCTCTTCCCTGCCCCCTCTCAGGTTGGAAAGGCTGGTGGACGTCCTGAGGAAGAAGGTTGGAGCAGGGACCATTAGGACCGTGATCTGATTGAAAGCTTCAGTCTAAGGAAGCATTCACATCTGGTGACCAGGCTGCTTCATTCAGCACTGTGTAAACACTAAAGCCTTAACTTAGCAAACAGTTGTTAGAAGTGGGACACTCCAGCGACATTCCAAGCTGAGATAAAATCAAATCATAAATGTTTAACTACTTTGCTGCTGAGTTCTGTGATTTGTTGAAATGTTTCACTGCAAACATATATTTGTTTTTAAGCAGATGCATTGTGGCTCTGTGTACTATGAAAAATGATGTAGATGCTTATTTTAACAGTCTGTTCCATCAGTGTAACTAGACTACAGTCTGCTGCAAGCAAGGCACAGCTTTACCATGTGTTCAAATACCTCCAGCTTCAGGTGCAAAATCCTGGAAAACAGCTTCAAAATTTGAATCCCTTGTGTTATTTATGAAACTGCAAACAGTCTGGTATTTGTATATTAAATACAGTAATTGATAAAGTAAGTTTGCGTTCAAGAAATAGTTCTGTCCACTGTGTTGGAGATTTTTTTCCTCTTTACTTACAGCCCATTGCAGCTAATAACCATAGCTACATCTAAAGGAAGGATGCACTTATAGCTTTATACAACACTTGAATAGCTGCTGGAGTACATGGTATTTTCAGCATACCTTCTAAAGAAGTGTATAGCTAGGTTTCACTGGAGGAACAACTGCATAAATAATCATAAATCGCTGTGTGAAAGCCTTGAGACATTGTGGGGTATCTCAGACAGTGGGGAAGGTTTCCTGGTTTGTTTTCGGTTACTCCTCTGTCCTTCCCTATAGGGTAAATCCTTCAGATGTTCAGAAATCACCTTACAGTCAAAACGCATCTATTTGTTGTAAGGTGAGTGGCTCAGACATTTCCTGCAAGAATGTTTTCCCAGCTTTATTTTGACCTCTGATTGCTCTGCAATGCAGGAGTACCATCCGGGTTGGATTTGGGGCCAGAATGCCAGCCCTCTGCTTTGCTGACTCCCAAAGTGCCCTGGGAGAGAACTTGAAGGCTGAAGGACAAAATCATACAAAGAGGAAAGAAACAGAGGAGTGGGGAGGAAAATTGCAGGTACACAGTCATTGTAGACATTACCCAAAGATATAGGAGAGTTGGCCCTAGATGTATATTTGGGAACCAAATATCTCCATGTACTCTGCATATTTTTATCACACAAGCAAATGCGAACTAAAGAGTCAGTTCAAGGCAGCTGCCCAACAAATCTGGCCCCTTGCAGGGAAATGAGTAGCATTCCTTCAAGCCAAATTTATCCAGGGTCACTTCAGAAACTCCTGAAGAGCTCCTTTTTGACCTTTGTTCAATCCTGAGATAGCCAGTGAGACTGAAGTCTCTCCACATGTATTCAGTGGGATGAAAGTTTCATGCTTCCAGTCCAGAAGCCCATCAACCCAGCACCCAGCCCCTTCCAACTCTCTAGAGTGCTCCCATTCTGCATTCAGACAACTCAATGCTCTTTTTTCCATTGTCTTCATTGAACCTTGGATCACTAATTGAAAGAAAAGATCACCTGAGCTGTCAGCACTGTTGAACCAGTTCTGCTTGAGGAAATGGTATAACCTAGTTTTTCTACTACAAAAACATCGAACAGCCATTCCTGTTTGTACCATTTTTTCATCCCTTATGATTTTATGTATTTTTCATCATTCAATCATCCACCTTCCAGACAGAAGACCAAGTCTCTCATAGAGGAGCTGTCTCATGTTTTCAACTTGCCTTGTCATGCTGATCTATTTCTTTTCTAGTTCTTCGGTGTTTTTACCAAGATAGAGCAGGATTTGTGCATGGTATTCAAGCTGTGACTTTAACAGATGTCATAATTATGTTTTCTGTTTTATTCTTCAAGCTATTTGTAATTGTTTAAGCATTAGAATTTCTTTAGGAAAGCTTGTGTCTTTTAAGTTAGTACTTGTATAATAATAATAACTTTAGATCTTATTCTTCAGTTATAATATCCAGTTCAGGATTCATCATGGGGTGTACAAGATCAGAACAGATCAAAACCATTTTCTGAACGTTCAGCTGCTGTATTACTATGCATTCCCTGACTGATTACCACTTGTTCCTATTCCACAGCTCATCCTTAGCAATGATATTTCTTTAGGAAATATCATTTATCTCCAGATTATCCCCTTTTTCAAGGCAATTTCTAATGGCCTTGAAATAAGTTGAACAGCATGGTGTCTGACAAAGATTCCTATAGGACAGTAAGTTAGTTTATATTCACTGTGAAAATGATACATTTATTGTTAGCTGTTGTTTCGAGCTAACTTTTAACTACATATTTTTCCGTGTGAAGATTTTCCATCTTACTCCTTTGGCAACTGTATTGAGGGAGCTTGTTTGTTGCTTGGGAAATGCAAGTTTACTTAATCACGGCTTGTTTTCTATGCATGAATGTGCTAGGTTCTTCCTCCCCATGTGTATCAGAATTTCTCACCTTGCCCCAAATCCTTCCTCCTCTGAGCCAATTACTGTGTGAGTGCAGGCTCTGTATAGCACAGCTGTTGGCCCTCCCTCCCCTTGCGTCAGCTGGCTTTGTTTAGGAACGTAGCATCAGCATACTTCTTATTGTGGGTGTTACTTGATTATGTACATCTATATGGTAAATTTGCTACATTATTTTCTTTTTGACATGTTATACCTAAGATAAAAAAATATTTCCCGATTCTGTCTTACATCTTGTACCAAGTGACCATGAGATGTAATGAGCTTTTAAGTTAGCTTTTTTTTTATATCACCCTGCACATGTAACTTTGAATCATAATTAAATTAGGCATCAGTTTTTAAAATTCAGATAGAAAAGTTTGTTTTCTTTTGGAAAAAGCCTTGGGAAATTGGCTGTGCTGGGAGGTGAAGATTCTGAAGCAGTTGGGCTCTGTCTCCTCCTTGCTCATATCATGGTGTGTGGTCCTCAACAAATCCTGCAGTGACTGTTGTAAAAGGCATGAAGACCCTCAAGAGGCCCACGGGCACCCTGGGGGGGATCTCAGGCACCTCTGTGGGTTAATGGCAAAACACTTTCACTTCTTCACCCGCTGTAGTGAATGACAAAGGTTGGGCAGTTCCAGAAATAGAGGCCCAGCCTTTGGTGCCTTCAGGTGGATTTCTGGCCTCAGTGAACTCAGTCTGAGTTTTGTCTTTCAGTGTAATGAGGGCAGGAACTCTGATCTGACATGTAGAAATAGGCAATAATGATAACACAGATAAATTGGCTTTTGTTGTGCAGTTTATTCAGTGAGAAGTGATTGATGTCTGTGAAATGTTCTGAAGGCAGAGAAAGCCTGCTCTATATAGCAGATATGGAGAAGTCACTTCTGTCCTAACTTGTGGAGAAAGATGAGCTTGCATCAGATTAAGTAACAGAAATAGCAGTTTGTTTTCCTCCCGGTGATGAAAGATGGCTCACCATGGGCAATACTTATGGTGACAGTTGTAATTACTGGTCAAATTAGTGTCCCTGTTGTTTTGAAGAGCACTGAGATATTCAGGAATACTCAACCCCTGTGAGATTTCCTGTGTTTCTCTTGATGATCCTGCAGCATGCTTGCATTGGGAGCCATTTCTGCAATATGCCAGGGTAAAATATGTAAATAGCATCATGTTGGCTTGGGATAAAAGCGTTATTAATGCTTTTCGGCACTGTAATTATATTCATAGTAAGCCTTCCCTAAGCCCACACTAATTAACAATATTATGACAAATCAACTTTAACAGAAAAGAACTGTGAACCTTTAGTCATTTAGTACTGTTTTCATTCAGCCCATAACCCAAAATCAGTAGTGTGGTTTTCTGCACGAGTGCCAGAAAAACTACTGATACTTGCAAAGTTCAGAGCCAGATCAGTCATGTTTGCAGAATCCCAGAGATGAAGTCAGTTTGATTCTGCTTTAAATATGTTCACAATAAAGCAAGATTCACTAGTTAACCATTAATATAGGGGAACATGAAAACAGCTCTTATGAATAAGCCATCATATTTAAATAGTTTAGTAAAGTCATTATGTTGTCACTGGCATACTTGTTTATCTATTTATTCCAAATCACAGGACACTTTACAGATATTCACCTTAATTTTCAAATTAAATGGCTTTATAAATTTTCTTATCAAGTGATCAAGAATTATAACATCCTTAATCCATGTACACAAATGAACTTGCTATCTAAATGTCAAGATTCTTCTGTGCTATTATTTTCTTCATTTAGAACACTTCCTGATGAAGGCTGCTAGCATTTTTTTCTTCTTCTTTTTAATTTGTGTGCCACAAGATTTTTGTCACATGCAGGAATAAGCTGCAAGACACATTAAGTCTCTCACTGACAGTTTCTCTCATATTGATCTCACTATGATCACAGTGTTATGCTGACTATTATTATTGTACCATTTCACATCAGGTCTACAGAGCTGGACTTCCCTTGTTTGTTTTTCTCATGCATTGGTAAATAAAATGCATTCACGAGTCCAAAAAACAAAGTGGTGTTCTCATATTAGGTTGATTATAAGTCAGCTGTTGAGCTTCACTGGTCTAAACATTTCATTCTTCAGTTTTGTTGGGAGCACACGTGTTCTGGGAGGCTTTTAAACAAATGCTTGAAATGGTTGAAAGATTTACATTGCTGGTGCCTAGCTAAATATGTAGTCTTTAGAAAAGACATGGTTTATTTTGGCACCATTTGAAAAACTCAAATATTTTAAACATTTGTTAAGTTTGAGCTTGCACATTTCAACGAAAAGTTTGCATTCCAAAATTACATCTCAGATTACCTGTCTCTCTCTCTCTTTTGTATTTTGTAATCCTTTTATTAAAATAGTCTTTGCAAAAGAAGTTCATTTTTGGGGGGAGGTGTTTGGTTGTTTTTTTTTAATTTGTAAAATATTGCCTTTACCTTAATCAATTTTTAAGGTAACATTTACCTGGTAACTCTATTCAACTAAACTTCAGAAATGCAACTACAGAATGCTTTCAGAATTTAGATCTTCATGTGAGTGGCCAAAACTTGTTTGTAAAATTAGTCAAATACAAGAATTCTGGCCAAATCCTGCAGAGCTTCAACTTAGTCATTCTGAATGCTAAGATAAATAAGTAGTAACCCTAATGTTAGGGGTGCAGGGCCAGACAATAAAGAGAGCAGGTTGAATGAGTACTGAACTGATAAAATAGAATAGCTCAGGGAAAAAGAAAACCTTTTGCCTGGAGTTGTTTTTCTTTTTGGTCTTTCCCTCCCTTGGCTGGGGGAGGGGCTGCAATGTTTAGCCTAAATTTTTATTTTAAAATCAACTTCTACCTTTGATTTTCCCATAGGATTTAACCTGAAAGTTGTACTGAATCTTAAAAAAGTGAGAACGTATAAATTGAAAACAGTATATTTTGTATAAATCCTGACAGATTCCCAGTTCAACAAACACTTGAGCATACCACTACAATTATGCACGTGCTTTGGTGCGTTGCCCAGTCAACAGCCAACTGCAAAGGGTCACACGCCTTTCTGCGAAGCTGTCATCAGGAGGAGTTTGGCGTGTTTCCTCCATGGTTACCTGGGGCCAAAGGTCCAAACAGTGCCACATTCACAGGAGTTCCTAAGCATTTGAATGACTTCTGAACGTGCTATGGCAGATCCATTGTCATATAGTGAAATAGCAACGTACCTGGCAGAATTCGTCACACCTGATAAACCTTGCAGAATACATTACATGAATTTAAGATGATTACTGGACATACATGAATATGAATACTGTATTTCACATATGACTGAACAATGACATGATTTCCTGAAGAATTCAAAAGGTGGAAGCTATGGGTTTGAGGTTTTTTGTTTCGTTTTGTTTTTGATAAAGTATATTACTAGAACTACTACCAAAGCCAAATTCATAACAGAAAAGGAAAATACAAAAATTTAAGATGGAAAAATGAAAATCTAGTTTAGTGCTATTCTGATTTATTGTCTGTAACCTCAAGACCTTTGCTCACAATTTTTGACTTTCACTGAAGTAGTGCCACTATTTCAAAAATTCTTTCTTTTCAGATAAGTAAACAGTTTTCAAAAATGAGAAATGAGTCTAAGTTGAAATCAAGCAAGATTTCATACACTTCTATGTGACAGTTAGCTTTTCAAAAAGTTAACTAATATCTTCACTTGGATGTTTGGATTATTGAGAGAACATACACAGCTCAGATGCATCCTTTGTGGAAGTATACTAGAGTAGAAATAGAATAAGAAATGGTAGGTTTCTTCGTCAACACATGGTTCCCAAACATTAGTGGTACACTTAAGCAAAAGAAGACACAAGAGATAAAATTTGCAGTGTGATCTGCTATGGCATTTGTTATATCAGCATGCTATGAAATGGAGGTGCATCAAATGAAACACTTGAAGCTATGACCTCCAGACTGGCAGACCAGTTCTACCACTAAACTGTATTCTCTCTGGTGAGGAGAGATTACAGCTTTGCACACAGGTCAAAAATATAGAGCTCTGTATCAATGTCATAGGATATGGAGCTGTAGGGATCCAAAACAGCATATCATGATTTTCATACCTGGAGTTATGAGTTCTCAATGTGTGATCCAGTCAGCATACTGAGAAAGATGTAGGTAAATCCAAGTAAGTAGAATCCAAGTAAAAGCTGTGATTTACTTCCTACAAGGACATGGAAGGCATACATCAGGACGCCAGGACTGGTCAGCGCTGAAGCTGCATAATAGCAAAGTGCAAGTTAGAAATTACATTTTGAACAGAACAGCAGAAAAGAGTAGTACAAGAAAAAAAAATTGCACGAGTGCGGAAGCATAGTCTGCTTCAGATGGAAAAAAAGGAGGAAAATTTATTACAATAAGCAACAGAAATACTTCACTTTGCAGACACACAGAGGTGTTGAAAATGTCATGGAAGTCATAGCACAACACGGATTCTGAAGTCTTTGAGTGTAGGTGTCTCACTGAAGCTAAAGTTAATGTGAGAGTGTGAGGATAAGAAAAATGCTGAAATTTGGTTGTGTTCAGTTTGTTCACTGAATTCTTGTTTGATACGACAAGATATCTCAGTTCTAAATTTTGAATAAAACAACATTCCTAATTAACATTTAGCTGGTTTGGTCACTGTGTAGCCAATATGTACAGTTGGCAGTGTCCCCCCTGCTTCTCTCAGGTTGAGCAATAGAAATCACACCTGTCCTATCGCTAAAGCTTTTTTGTTATAAAGAAGCATAAATTTAATATCACCAAAATGGTAAATATTGAACCTTCTTAAGGTTTTCATTAAGAAATCTTAGCACACATATAAAAGAAAGTGAAAAACAATAGCACTTTCTCCCAGTGATAGGTTTCTTCACACAGGGGATGATCAGAGTTGGTCACAATGAATGGAGGATGTTCCAAGCAGATTTTAACACCTCTGCTGCAGGTACTGTGTGTCCACATGTCAGTTTTACTGTGGTTTGGGTGTGTGAAATGCCATCACCCACAGCTCTTTGTCGCGTTTCTAACAGTCACCACTCTGCCTTTCAGAGCCACAGCTTCATCTGTCCCATAGAGTAGTTCTCCATTCTGACCCAGAGGCATTGCTTATGGAACTTGCTGCTCCCATGTGTGATAATTTTGAACTGGTAGTTTGAAGTGCAGGAGAGGGTCAGAGATGTGCAAACTTGCATTGTGCTCTGTGTTGAGCAAAGACGTACCAGGATGCAGGGAGATGTGTGCAGAGTGTGAGGGACAGCTCTTATCTGCAGACATACAGCATCAAATATCTGAGTACAGCAGTGCTGCAGTAGCATGCACTGGAAGAGAGGCCAGAAAGCTTCACAGTTTTGCCCTGCTTTGATCACATAATGGAGAAACTGACCTCAATTACTTTTCAAGCAGCTAAATGCCCCACTTCCTCTGCATTTTGCTAGTCTGCTCGTGATAACTTTATTTCCCAAGAGCTCTGACAGCCACTAGAGTAAGACTTATAAATCTGAACTGCCTCTGCCTAAAGAAAATATGGTTTCATCACATGTGTTTTTGTGAGTTCCCACAGGACTGTTCTCAGCATTCCTATATAGCAAAGCCACTGCTGCCTGTGGTGGCTGCCTACTCTGATTTTCAGTAGAGGTGCTATTCTTGTAATTTTCCATACATTGAGATTTGATCTGCAGGCAACAAATACTGCACATTACGAGGTGTTTCGTGCAAAACTTCACCCTTGCACAGACTGATTTCCTGTATCACTAACCATTTGTTATCGGGTGACCTGCTGCCTACTATCTCATTAAATGTCCAGTTTCTTTTTTTCAGCACTGTTTTCATTTTCTCTCCTTAAAGCCACCTGCTGCAGGTACCTTCTGGGAGCAGTTACTGTAACTTCTCACCAGCAGTGAGTTGAGCCAGTGCCTGGCAGGCTGCACCGCACACTGACCTCCTGACCCAGGATGTGCTGGAGTTACACCACCACCTGTCACTAACATGTCCTGTTCCCTACTTCACCCCACCCCCACTTGTCAAACCTGTAAATTACGTCTTTGGTTCCTGTTCAGTTTCTCTTCTACCCAAGTAATTCATACACAACACGTGTCCAGCTAGCTGCCATGTTGGTTTTTGGGGATTATAGCATGTCCACGTAGCATAGTTCTCCTCAAGAAAAAATATTGCTACTACTCTTCATAAAGGTGGGAAACAGTCCCTGATAGAATGGTTCAACAGGTCAACCCCCAAGTTCCTTGATTTCCTGTTGCTTTCCAGGTACACAGTCTGCCTACGGGGCAGAAGTTAACCCAGCACCCCTCAGCATGTCAGAAAGAGGCCACCCTATAGCTGGCCCAGGTCTTCACATGGAACCACAGCCATGAGGTTTTGGAGCCCTCTAAGGGGCTGCACAGAGAACCCACTGCTGTTATTGGACTTGCTTTCTGGTCTGTCTTCTGTCACCTTCAGATCAGAAGGTCTCAATATCCTGCTTTTGCCTGTGGTGTTAAAGAGGAAATTAATCTCTCAAATCCTTCCCTGTTTTGATAACTGGAGACCCTGAATGGCCTAATCTTCCCTTGGACAAACTGACTAAAGAGAGTTTCTGATACCACCTACTAGATACAGCTCAAACATTACAGCATTCCTGAGTTCTAACTCTTGGACGTGAGGATACTTGAACAGAACACAGCACTCCTTCCCTGTCTCAGACCTGGGCTGTACAGAGCCCATTCCCATTCTCTCACCATATGTTCTACCTATCCCCAGCACTATGCTCACCACTGGGGCTCAGTGTCACTCATGGCCTGGTGGATCACCTGTCACAGCCAACCAGCTGTGCAGCCTCTGTCCTGCTTGGGTGTCGTGTGTTCTTGATGACCTTGGTGATAAGGGAACCTGCCTTCAATTCAGGCTGGAATGTCTCTGTAGTCAAACTAAACTGCTGTAATAGAAGTGAGGTTGGAGGGAGGTGAAGAGGAAAATAAGTGCACAGACTGTAGGAACATGGATTGATGAAAGAGAGAGGGGAGAGAGATTGCATGAGGATGGAGGTGCAAGACAATAGTGAAAAGGTAAGCTGAGGGAAATATGATGAAATAGAAATAGGAGCTCATATTATCAAGCTTGTTGCCATTGTTTCCAATCCCCATGTCCTGTATTTTTATTTCTGGGCCACGAATGGTCCCAGTATGGAAAGAATTAAGTCCCT